TAAAAACTAAGCAGCATGATACTTGATGTTGCCATCAGTTGTCATAAATCCAGTTATAGAGCCAGGTGTAAGAAGAGCTGCCACTTCTCTCAACCATGTTAGTTTTATCAACTAGTTTTACTGACTAATTTTAGGCATTGTTTTGTCTTTCAAATCACAAGCTATTGAGATCGATATTCCCATCTATAACAGAAGAATCACCATATCATCTAGTGCATGTCTTTAGTACAGTGGGTTTTTTGTTTTGTTTTTTTTTGTTTTTTTTTTAGAGCAGTTTTTACGCCCTTTTGCTTCAAGAGCAGTAAATTTTACTTGCCTTTTTGAGCTAGAGGAGAAATACTATTATTAATAGTCCCAGATTAAGTGGTCTTAATATTTGACAGGGGACAGTGGATCAGTGTGTGCTGCTGTTCTCTATGATCACTTCTTCATGATGTGTTTTCCTGTAATGCTCTTCAAAAGCACTTGAAGTATTATGTTATGTTTGTGGCACCCCGTACTCACTTTATTGTCTCTTCTAATTCAGGGAATAGAAATTATTTATTCAGGGAATTTTCCTCTTTTAATGATGGGAAAAGTAGTAACGGGTTACAGGTGAAAATAAGCGCACAATTAACACAGTCAGACTCATGGGGTTTGTTGGTGCTTACTACTCCTTAATCAGTTGCAATTAACACAAGATGAGTGTTTACTCTCAATTCTCTTAATACTTGTGTAATTGACCACAAAAATAAATTTACATCTATGTATGTGCTGAGGTTTTTTTTTTGCTGTTTACACTGAAGCTTGTAAAATGTTTTGTGTGCTGTGCAGATACTTCAGATAAGAAAGCCTGAAATAAAACACAGTGACTTCAATAGAGAAAGAAAACAGAATTTTAAAAATCAGTGCATTTGGTGTGTAAACGTGTTGAGTTAAATATCTAAGGGCTGTGGCAGAAAGGAAGCCTGAAAACTACAAATTACATAGAACAGAATGGTTGCTAATTGCAGATATTTGGACTGAATTCCTGCTTTGTCACCAAATGTCAAACGAACTTTGGTTGGGTGAATTAGTCTTTGTCTCTTCCCTTTCTGTATTTAAAGGGGAAAAAAATGGAGGGGGTGAATAATGTACTATCCTGTTTCACATGAAAAAGAGATGTATACTAAATGCATCAGAAAGTTGAAACCCCGTGGTGATGGGGCCACAGTAGTTCTGAAGATAAGGTAGTATACGATAAAAAGATGGCTCAAAGATAGGGATGGCATTCAGACTCCTCCTAAATTTAAATGTGGTGGTTTATTTACAATCTTCCTATTTGATATAATTTACTAAAAAACCCTTATGTTTTATAGATATGACTATAAAGAGAATTTGCGAGGAAGATTAAAAGGAAATTAGAAGTTCACAGTTTGCTTCATAAACATGAACAAACCACTGTTTGTGGTTTCTTTCCTCTCTACTGGTGAAGGCATGATACTAGTTCATTTCCTTGGAGGACTCACTAGTGTCTGGGAAGCCCTTTTAAGACTGTGGAAGTGAGTAGGTGTAGGTTACATCTACCATAATGCGAAGGTGATTTGGTGCTAAGGAGAGTCTCACAGCCATGCTGTATTTTGGGTACTATAAGTTCAAAACTGCCTCTAGCTTAGCCTTGTGGACCAAAAGTCCACAAGTAATATGATGAATTAGATGTTAGCAATGGAATAGATGTGCTTGTGAGCACTTGCTTCCAGTTCAGTTTCATGTGAAGGAAATCCAGTTTCTGTGCTTTGAGATCGCGGGGATGAGTACAACAAATGAGGATATCAGGAGTTTTGTTTCAAAAATTCACTCTTGACCTTAAATGCTAATGTATAAGTTAATGTGAACACAGCCACAGCAGTGTTTAAGCTGGAAAGAAGAGATAATGCACCCACAGTTGAGCTGAGGTACTACTGCCAAACTTTTTCCATGCAAACACTGAAAACAGTGTGCTTAATTATGTTATAATGGCACCAAGAAGCGTCCAAGTAATAACAGACCACTTTGTTCTGGACACTGTAAAAATACAGCTATAGAGTCTCTGCCCCCAAAGGCTTTTCAGTTTAAGTTGGAGAGGTCAAAGAGGCTGATTTGATGGAACAAGGTGAGGATTTATAACTCTCCAGCCTTGAAAATTACCTTCTCCACAGCTTTGGTACTTTTAGTTCAGGTCTGTACTAGCAGGTTTAAATGAAAGACGAATAAAAGGTCAGCAGCAGAGCTCTACCTCAAGTCTCTTAGGTTTCAGTTTTGTGAACTAGCGACCACTCTGCAGTGTACAAATTTGCTTGCACTTCTGTCATCCTTGTGCTATATTTTTCTTAGAATCTGTTTTATCACTTTACATCTGTAAATATAAGCACACAGCCGGTGTGAATCAGTGCTTTTAGTACTTGGCATGTTCTTTAGCAAGTAACGGATGTATACTGAACCTTGTCACTCTGTGTGTGTGTGTGTGTGTGTAGATGCCCCTGTCATCTTCTGCATGCACAACAGCAAACAGCAGCAAATCAGAGGAGACGTAACAACCAAACACCAAGTGCAAGGATTGCCAAGCGTGATGCTGTTGGTTTGTGCTGCACAAGAGATCCAAGGGTCCAGAGCCACTCCTTGTTGTGTGTAGTGCTCACAAGGTGAGCGATGGCCACCAAGGTTCTGGTGGAAGTTGAAAGTTTTTTTTATCAGAAAAGGAGGCTTAAAGCTGAAAGTTAAAGCTTGTGTTCTCTAGAAACATCTGGTTTAAAAGGTTTGGAATGTCTGTGCAGGGAAAGGGAGTGGTCAGGGTGTACCTGGAGGGGAAAAACAGCTCTTCAGATGGTCAAGATTAAGCTAGTAGATTAGTTTCTTAGATTGTTTTTTCTTTGTGTATGCTGAAGAACATCCGCACAAGTAATCCTGTTGTCATTGCTGCCAGTCTCCTAGCTGGATGCTTTGGTTATGAATACCACAGTGTTGCTCTTGGTTGGGGATTGGTGGGCACAGTTGTTCAGAACAACTGTGGTACAGGGCGGTTGTTCTGTCTTTGCATAAAGTATTGGATTACTCCACTTATTTGTTTGTTTTATTTACAGAAGTTATTTGTAACCAAATGCACGAGCAGATTCACAACAGTCCCTAATTACCCCTCTCTTTAAAGTCAACAGTGTAATGAAAACAGCAGAAGCTGTTTAAACTTCTGTACCAAAACATAAACCAAATATAGATCTATTTTTCAAATTAGTTAAATGTTCAGTTTTAATAGGCCCTTTGGTTGCTCTTCTTGAAAGGCACTTGCTCCGTGCAGCCTGAAGCGTGTTCTGTGGTGGTCTGTAATTTCTGAAAGTACACATTAGTGGGAAATAATAGCGAGAGGCTGCCAGAAGACCTATTGGCTGCATGCATTGCTTTGTTTCACATAAGAAGACTTTTCCCCACACTTATTTTCTGAATGCATTTTGTGTTTATAATGGGAATGCATTCCTGTGTTGTTTGATTTAAGAAATTAAATAGTATAAATTTGCTGGTCACATATACTTGCTTGAGTTAGAAAGGACTTACTGCACTGCCAGGACTCCAAGGCTGAGTGCTCAGGTATCCTTCAGTGGGACTTGGCACCTCTCTACTTTCATAAAATAGCATATACGTTAGGGCTTTTCTTTCTACTCTGCTTATAATCTGTGGGATCAACTGGACTTTGAAGCTTTCCATGGAAAACTGGGTAGGCAGCCCCTCTTTTAAAACAAAGTCTGAAGTTGTTTTTACTGGTTATGGCTGGAGAACATCAGCCATTCAGACACTGCGATAAAATGTAACAGCTTACCCAAACTCAGCAGCTTAGATCAGGGCTTCTTGTGCACAAAGGGTGTGTGGTTTTCCTGCCTTAAAGAATTTTTATTTGGCGTTGAGCTATTAGGGGATAATACAACAAATGAGATGAAACGTTTTGCAGCGTAACTGTGAGGGTCTCTTCCCTCCCATGCTGAGTAATTTTCATTTGCAAATGGCAGTGGCATTCTTCAGACTATAAGATATTGTAGAATACAATATGTGAAAAGCAAAATCAGCCCTTGGGTGCGTGCAGATGGCCACGCTCTAGCAAGCTCCAGTCTGTCTCATTTGTCACTTCATAATACTGAGACCAGATACAAGAAGGACCACACAGAGGCTCCTTCCCCAGTATGGTGTTCCACCGGGTGTCAGTCAGCAGCACAGGGATTTCCTCAGACATGGAGAATATCTTAGAATTATAAAATAGTACAGATTGCTTATGTTACTGTAACACCTAGAAATCATAGCTGTGAACCGCAGCGTGCAGAGTGCTGTGTAATCAAGAATCAAAGCTGCTGTTCTCATTGTTATATCTTTTGAGCTCATCATAAAACAAAATTTGCGTAGTCTTATAGCAGCAGATACGGAGCTAGATCATGGTTTTGCGAGCCGTGACCTATAAATTTAACTGTCTTCCAGGGATTAGCCCTGCAGCTTCCCTGTTTGCTTGTGGCTGGCTGTGCTTGGGAGAGCTGATGGCCCTGGTGTTGTGTGCGGGAGGGGTGTGCTCACCCCTTGGGTCTGATCCTGCAGGAAAGCCATGGGGGCCACTGGCAATACATCCTCTGCTTGAATAGTTCTAAATATGAAAGCATTAACTTGGTGTAGGTATGCATTTGTAGCAAGTATAGCAAAATGATGTGAAAACTTACAGTATACTTGAAAAAGCAGAAAAGGAAAAAGGGGATCTTCAGCATTTTGCTGCAGAAGGACTGGTGTTTACATTTCAGAATGCACTTAGATGATTTATGAAAATGGAAAAAAAAATCAATTTTAGGAAGGTAACTGTCAGACTCTTAGTACAAATCAGTGAAACAATGAGCTTTTTTTTCCTGTTAAGATATCTTTAGAAAGCAGTAGTTAAAAATAGCTATAAATATTTGCATTTTGAAAATATTTTCTCATACAGACACTTTCTTGCACTTGAATTGTGTTGACTGAATGGAACTTTTTTTTCCTCCCCTCAGCAGAAAATCAACTTCTCTCTTGGCTGACCTTTCCTCACCTGCTTCCCGTTTTATCCTCTCATGGATGCAACTTTCCCTGCAGGAAAAAGGTAGGAAATATGTTTTTTTTCAAACAGCAGGTTGCCATCATATAATGTCACATAATAACAATGGAAATTTAAATTGATTTTTTTAAATTAGTAATCCGAAAGCTAAAATGTTAAAAAGATGACCATTTAAAAACAGAACAAACAACAATAAATCCCAAACCCCCACATTTTAAGTGGGAGAGAGTTATCATGAATTGAACCCTTAAAAAAAAAATATATATATATGTATATATATATATATGTATTTGTAGTTTTGCTGTGAGGAAGCTAAACTGTTTTGGACTCTAATTATATTTGTCCATGGAAATGGTAGTCAAATCAGAAAATCTTCACTATTATTCCTCTTGCAGTGATTTCAATAGATATTATATTGATCTTACAGGACTCACTGTCCATTGCACAATGTTGAAAATGATTAAAGGACATCAGTACCTATTAAAAATCACCTGCTTGATTTTCAGTGAATGAGGCCTTTTGTGAGGGGTGAGGACTGGGGCATTTACACTGATGTGATTATTCAAACTACTGTGACCATAAAGCTATGGAGATGGCAGTGACCTTTTAACCTTGATGAAATCAATAACGGACCATCTTAACTTCAAGTCATCTGTTGTTCAGTTTAGACATACTGCAGTAAAATATACAGAAGGAGTCTGCAAAAAATAAATGTGTTTTTTTTTTAATCAAGATGCGTTTTGGGAGCATTGGTTACAGTTATCTATCTGTATGTTTGCAGTATTAGAGCAGAACAAACTAGCTGGGAATACACAGGCATTTGCATTGTGGTGTTTCTTCTTTAAAATCTGAAAACAACTCCCTCTGATGGAGGTGCCTGAATTTCTTCAAAGGGTTCATAGTTCTGAGCTTCAATTTTTCCCATTTCCTTTATCTTTTCTTTATGTGATGTTTTCCCTCATGTAGAGGCTTTGCAAACAAAATCAAGATCAGGAGAGGCAGTTTTGCTCTGGAAAATACTTCTTTATCTTTAAAGAAAAATATACTTCTGACCAATGAACTCATAACTTCTTTCTGTGTAACCTTGCAAATACTTACGTGAATATTTAATTTCATTCACATGTTCAGCCCATGGGAGTCCTTACAACTGCTGACATGTGGGAATGGGGACACTGGGTAGCAGGAGAGATGTTATCTGATTTAAGGTTTAGGATATGGAAGGTCAGTTTTGATACTGAAGATGGTTTTCTCTGTCAGGTTGTCAGCTGTGTCTGTGTGGTATTTGTGTAGTTTTAGTGATGAAAGTCTATGTTGTGAATACAAAAAAGCTAAGATTTAATATATAAATTGGGACTTCTGAACATTTCTTCTTTGCTCGTTTTTGTAATCTGAGTCCACAGCTGAACAGAATTACATAATATGGGAAAAATCAGGTATTTTGTTTAAAGAAGAAAAAAAAGGGAAAAACAGCAATAAGGCGCTGAGGGGAGAGAAAATGTCTCTACGAATGCAACAGACATAAAAGAAAGTGAAGGAAAGTTAAAAATTACCATAGGGCAGGCAGGACACCTGCTAAAGAACCTTCTGCTGCCTCTCACAGCTGGAAGGAAAAATGAAAGAGATGCAAACAACTGTTCTGGAAGCATGAAATCAGCCTTTTGTCTTTTCACCCCCTGCACACACACCCCCCTTTCTGAACAGTTACAGTATGCAAAATTTAGGGGAATCTCAAAGTATGAGAAGGGAAAAAAAAATTCAACAGGCTCTGCATATAAAAAGCTTAGGCATGGAAGTGTGCCTCTTTGAAAACAGGAGCATGTTTGGGAGCTTCCCGGTGCATTGAAGAAAGTGGTAATTAATGCATAGTGAATGACTTCGAATGAAGGTTGAATAGGGGCATAACAATGGGAAGTTTTTTTTTTTTCCTCTAGGTTAAAGTGTTGAAAAAGGAAAGCTGTTAAAAGATGGCTACTGTGAAGCTACAACTTCAATCCTTGTCTTCTCTGACTTTGCTTTATAGACTGTGGTGGGTTTTGTTTTGTATGGGTCTCCAAATACAATGAAGTTAATTTGCACCAATTTCATTTTGTGTATGCTTTGGGTGTTTTT